CTGGACTAATATTATATTCTGTTATTCCACTATATTTTCTTACCTTTGATGTTAGAAGAAGTGCAAAGGTTTCATAGGTAATGGATTTTACTATCTGTAATGTTTCTCATTTGAGTTTATAGTCTTGCTTAAATGTTCTCTCTCACTTTTCCTCTTCCTGTCTCTGTTCTGTATTTCTCTCATGTAAACATAAAAGTGAACCGTTTGTCTCCAAAGGACTAGGTTGTTATTTTCTGCTCCACATTTTCAAAACACTTCTCTTTTTCCAGCCGTGTCTGTTCTCTCACACGCTGGCAGAAACGTTTTTTAACCTTTAATGTAACCATGAAAAGACTGGCAGCAGCACTCTGATTCACTTACACTTGATTTCATGCATTAATATTCCCTTGCTGGCTCCCAATATGGTTTCTTTTGTTGTGCTGGAAAAGTACAAAATGGAACAGCTGCCACTTCTTCTACATTACTGTATGTTTATTCGGCCGTTTGGCTTCCTCGGATGACACTGAACTGTACGAACGCGGTGAAGACCACAGGAAGAGAAGTGATGACAGCTGTGCTTGTGGCGTGCCAGGCGGGTAGAGACAAACTAAACATGACTTCCGTGGAGACGATGCGGTGTCACGTCTTTGTATGCTCTTTGTGAAATGCTACAAACCACAAATTAAAGTCCACATGATCAGTCACAAATCAGATTGTTGTTTTTCTTCTGCATAATCTGCCAGTAGCACTGAATGTGTGTTATGGCCCCTCGTCATGCAGCTTTAGCGGACCCATTAGCTGACTCTGGGAGCTCCCAGTTGACAGCATCTGCACAAGCGTCTGCACAAGCTAATTAGCTAACAGCAGTGTTTTAGTAGGTCATTTTACGTATACTTTGCTATAATTTATTGTTTCCTGAACGTTTAGGTCATGAATTGTGTATTTTAAGCTAAATTGTAAAAATAAATATCACAGTTCATTTATATGTTATATATAACAGCTGCCGTTCATCTGAAATTAATCTTTATCATTTCCACAACATGTCAGCAGTCCTTGTGTTGTGTTAGAGACAAATTCAATGCAGATTATATATATAAAAATAAAAAATAAATCTAGTTTCTATGGAAACATGAGTTAATTAGTGAGCACATGGATGAGAAGTTGGACACGGTGACCCTCGAGATCAAGAAAAATAAGGTCAAGATCACATTTCCTTCTCATATATTTATTGTGTTTCCTTTCCATTCAGCTTAGTAATTGTGTATTTTGAAATAAATTTGTAAAAATAAGTTAATATTACTGTTGAATTGAAGTATTTTAAGTTAATATAGATGCTAATAATCAAAGCTAATGTAGCAGACCTTGCTAGCTGCCAGTTATCTGCGATTAATCTTCCACAACATGTCAGCAACTTTAGGTTTAAAGATTTAATTCAATCAAAATTAATATTTAAAAAAATCTAGGTTCTACGGGTACCCGCGAGTCTCCCCTTTAACTACATGTCCACTTCATTCTTATCCCATGTAGCTGTTGGGCAAAAACTGTGCAGTTTTTTTGCCTATTGTATTTGAATATTTCTGCGTACTGGGGAACATGAACAGTTTCAGAATTACAAAGTTGAGACACATACTGGATTCGTCAGTAAGGTAAGATATCAGAGTAAAACCACCTGGTAGCATTTTAATGCCAATGAAATGAATTTAACAGAAACTTTAATTGAGATTTTATATCCAAAAGTTGTAAAACTCAAAAGGCAAAAAGAAGTTAATAGATGTTTTTCCAGGACGACACCGCAATCAGTGTGTGTGTGTGTGTTCATTAATAATAGCCAGCAGTGAAGTTGTACTTTAAATCCAATGTTCTTTACACTTTTAAGAACAACTGCCGCTTCAGGCTTTATAATGTGACTGCACACACTCACGCAAGCAAAGAGGTGCCACTTTACGCTCCATCTAATTATTTATTCCTTCTACTTTATTACCCTATTTGTTTGTGTGTTTCTTTATTTTGCGAGAGCTAGAGACGAGGGAACAAACAAACCAGGAGGTTAGATTTTTAATTTGAATTCCTCCCGATCAGCGCTCCTCGGTACAGCTCAAACTGGAGGTTATTAAGTCACAGGTAAAGAGATTTTTGAAACTAGAGGGGATGAGATTCTGTCTCGCCAATAAAGGCAAAGTCAGAAAACTCCCACAGCCTCTCCCTTTGAGCTTCTGATTAGAGCTTACACTGGTGGAAAATAACTATTCTAAAGAATGGTTTTGAGCATTTTAAATCTGAAGAGCACAACAAGACGCTGATTGAACGAGACTAAACAGAGATAACTGAACCTTAAAGGACTGTTATGGGGTGTTCAGATGCACATGGAACAGAAATCAGACTGTTTAATTCCTTAAAGCAGGCAGTTAGGGAGAGAGTTGTCGCAGTATCTAATAGTGCTGAATGCGGTGTTATGTCCCTCCAGTCCGCAGCTGTAGCGGCCCATTTAGCTGACTCTGTCGGACTGGGACCTCCCAGTCAACAGCACGTTTAGACCTAGTACTGGGAGGCTGCCGAGCCTCGTCAGTGCATGCGAACGGCAGCTACATCAGCAGTTTAGTGGAGTTGAAGGCAGAGCAGCCCGTCGGAGGACGCGGAAGACGTCAGAGGGAAAACCAGACAATATTCTCTCCATAAAATATGATCCAGTTTCACCCAAATCACTGATAAAGTTGTGTTTGTACAGTAATCAGTGAGCTAACTAATGTATCTTCACTCTGTGTCGCTACAAGCTGAAGATTGATTGACGGGTGACTGTCAGGATATTACTGGTTGAAATCAGTTAGTTCATGCTGACGTAAGCACGCGTCACTTTTTGTTTTACAGAAATTATTGTAGTTTTTGAACATGTTTTGACATACATGGTTAAATAGAGGAACAATATAATATAGGAAGCAACCTTAAAGGGTTAAAATTACGTTTTACATTTCACTTTAACCTAAACCTAGTGATTAAATCACCACAGAAATGTAATATATATTACTATATAATATTAGACTGTTGGAGGGGGGAGTCACAGGGGCTGGTTCTTTATTTCTCTCCAAACCAAAAAATAACAATAAGTTCTGAAGGTGTCAGACGATATAAATAAGATTCAGCTGCCTCCCTGCTGCCGCTGTCCGTGGTCCTGAAGTCTCCCTCTGAGCCTGTCGCTCTGTCCGTGGTGCTGAAACCTCAACCTGTTTATTTCGTTATCACCGTTACATTTGCTTTCCCTGAAGTGTACATTATGAATAAAAATATGCATTATTGTTCATCTTGAGAAAGCAGCTGTGATTTCCACCCCACATCACTTCACGCCCCATTACTTCTCATACTTCTCATTATTTACTCGTGTGCTGATGTGGTGCTTATTTACGCCCCTATTTACTTGTTTAATGTTGATACAGGCATTTATCATGATAACACATTTATTCGCAGTAAGCAGTCATGTTTTTCACGTTCTGATTGATATTTTTCCCCACAGAGACATTGTTTTCTATCATTTTATGATGTTTTAGAAATATAAATTGACTTTGGGAGTCATGTGTGCCCATGTAATAAAAAAAACTCCCCAGAAACACATCTAAAGATCGACTTTGAATGGATTTGTTGTCTAGAACGCCTCCAGTGCCTCTAAAACAAAGACGATCCAGGCAGTAAAAGTATGATTAATTATCCACCAGCGTGAAATTTCACAATTGAGCATCGTGTGTCACTTCACAGGCGGGAGACCTGTGAACACGCGTCTCATTAGAAAGAGATAGAGCGTAGGTGACATCACCCGCCGCGCGGTGAGGCTGTTACTCTGAGAAAACATTGCTTCTGACGCAGTGCGGAGCAGATGATTGGTTAAGTGCTGGCCGTGGCTTCTGTTTGTTGTTTCACCGCCTGTTTAAATCCTGTTTGATGTGTTTTGGAGTCAAAGTTGAGATATTCCCCAGCTCATTAGAAACACGTGAAGCTCTGCAGGCTGTCATAAATACACAGTTTTGAATCCTTTCACGCTTGGAAAGTGGCACGTGGCTGTTGGAGCCGCACCGATGAATCGGTGGACTGAAATTATCACGATGTGCGCAGTTGCCAGAAACTCGTTGAATTTCGATTTTTAATAAACTACCGTAAGTGTACGATGATGCAATTTATAATCAGTGTACAGATTTTTGTTTTTTGAAATGAGGAAACTAAAATCCTAAAAAATTAAACATAGGAGGGAAATTTAAAATGGAACCAAAAAATGGAAAACGGTGCTTTTTGGGGGGTTTTGTGTTTTTAGTTTCAAAACAAACAAACAAAAAAGATGGAAAATGGGTTGTTTTCTGTATTTTTATTTTCAATTTGATTTTTTTTTCTTTCCCGTATTCATGAACGGTAGTTGGGAAACAGCTTAGTACTTGATTTTGGTTTTCTCATTTGAAAACAAATATCTGTTGACCGCAAAGTACACTGACCTAATTTCCATTTATTCATAACAACCCGGAAAGACAGAGCGGCATGTAACACATATTCTGAGCAGCATTATAACATTATAATGATATCAACTGATGAGGAAACAGAAGATTATCTCTCTCCTCTGTCTCACATTAAAAATTACATTCAGCTCACAAGTAAATGATGTATCCTGCTTTATATCCCACAAAAAAGGAAAAGTAGAGTTAGTATAAACCATTAAAATACTCCTGTGTGCCTCTGGTGAGTCTCTAAATATTTCTATTCTTTCCTCTATTTCCCGGATCGCATTTTTTATTTCACAATAAAGCGCTGCTACCTCCTCGTCAGACGTGTCAAACGCATGAACAATAAATGTTTGATTTCCTCTCTCTCTCTCTCTCCGGCACACTGCAGCAGCAAATCACAGACGAACAGCTTATAACAGCTGACAGATGTCTGAGTCACCATCACAGGCGACCTACAGAGGGCACACACACACACACACACACACACACACACACACTCCCCCCCGACATGCAAAAGATGTTTGTTTTTATCGTGTGTGAGCGTACCGACAGCCAGGTTGGCGATGAAGAAGTTGGTGACGGTGCGGAGCGTCTTAAAGCGGTAGATGACGTAGATGACCAGAGAATTACCCAGAACCCCCAGCACAATGATGGTGCTGTAGGCCAAGATCAACACCACCTGCAGACAGACAAACAACAACAACAACAACACAGCTGTCAGAGGAGGTTATTCGCAGCAGCTCTACTGTAAACTGGCTGAGACACAGAGAGGATTAATAGTTTTCAGCTGTGATCTGAAGGTCAAATTAAAAGTAGAACTGAACCACTGAGGAAAAAAACAGGCTTTTATTTGAGACAATTAGAGACACTGATTTTTCATAGACCTTACTGTAATTGGTAAAAAAAAATCTATAAAAGATGTATTATTTATGATATTTTTACTTAATTTTGAACAAAACAACCTTCCACTGGATCACAGGGGATTTTATTACCTAGAACGCTTTTATTTTGGAAAAATACAAGGAGCACAGAGAAAGTGCGCATTAAATAAAGTGCATCAGCAACATTTCCTGTTTCTTTGATTTGATTTGAAAGTTTTCAGATTTATTACATTGTTGAACTGCTGTGAAGGTACCTGGTTTATTTTTATGAATGTTTTGACCAAAAAGATGAGTCTAACAGATAAAACATGCCGGAGCCGGAGCCAGTGTAATTTATCATTTCAGGCGAGGCGACTCTGTAAATAGGACAGTGGCGTGAAGCAACACGGGGGGCGGTGCGTCTCCAGCAGCTGTTTTAGCTTTAATCCACTGGTTTCTATCAGTGAGTAAGCTATATTTTATGTCTATTGATCAATAATAATAGCAGTAGAGCTGATAAACTGTACAATGAAACCAAACAGTGAACACAATAACTGCAGGGAGTTTGTGTGAAACGAGTGATTTTAGAGACGATTATTTCCTGTGAATATTTATATTTTTATCATTTTGAACAATCATACAGACTTAATAGGCTTTATTTTTTGCCAAATTCAGTGTTTTCTTCTCATCTCATCTACTGCAGGACGAGGCTGTTTATCAGACAGCGAAGGCTCTGTGAATAAATCAGTTCAGATCTTTGTGATCTCTGTTCACAATCCTAAACAACAATGTAAACTTTGAAAATAACAATTTCATTTAGTTTTCTTCACTGAAATGGACCAAATATATAGGAATATTTTTAAAGGCCTTGCGACCCCTGTCAAGCTTTGTTGGGGTCCCACTGGTCTAATCTAACATATTAATCACATTTTACAGCACTAGCAGTCCATGAAAGCGCTACAGCTCCAGTGCTGACATCCCAGAGTTAGAGAGTGTGAAAGGTTGCGAGGAGAAGCAATTATTAGTTATTAGTCAACTTACCATATCCTATATTGTCCGATTTGGACAATATAGGAGTGGTTTTGGGGGTTATTGAGGATGCTGAACCCATTAATTTATTAATACCTACATTTTGGAATCAAGAAAGCTCATCGAGGTAAATGTTCAGACATAATATTTCTTCAAATTTAATCAATTATAATCAAAATCGGTCCACCAAGAGTTGAAATATGTCCACTTCCAGGTTTAAACGGCCATTTTGTATTTGTATTTGTACTCAGAAATGCATTCAGCATTTCCTGCAGTGGTCGCTGCTCGAGCCCTAATTATGCAAATTATTGTAATTGCAACATCTTCACCATACTATATTAACAAGTAGACTACGATACATTAATGCCCTTAAATTTCCCACAAACATCAACATCCTTCGTCTTTTTTAGACAAATATGAAATCATAGAATACGAAAGCTCTACCTGTACACTCAGCAGTTTAATGGGGTCTTCTGGAAAATTCACTCCCTCAAACACTGTGGGCAACGCCGGTGGGTTAGCGGCGGCACTGGGGTTGTAGTCGTGGTAACCGAGGTTGCCGAGGTCATCGTCAGGCGGGGGCAGGAAGCGGAGCTCGTCCTGCGTCCCGTTGACTGCGCTGACAGCCTCCATGTCCGATCACGCGTGTTCGGCCAGCAGCGGCATTTTTACAGACACACTAACACGCACACATAGCCTGCGGGATGACAGAGAGACATTAATAGACATTAATAATGCAGGTAAATAACAGGTGAGAAAGACAAGACAGGTAATGAAACTGTGAACAGGGGAAGAGTAGAGCTGCCGGAACAAGTCTCAGAACTGAGTAAACGTTTTAACTAACAGAGTCTATGGAAGTTTAAGAGACAAAAAACAACCTTTAGCTTGAGTTTCTAGAGTTACGTGTTGTTACGGAAATGTTAGGAATTGTTAAAATGTGAGATTTCTTAAAGGGAGTTTGGTGCAGGGAGCTTTTATTAGCTAATATAATTAATATTTAACACGACTACAGAGACACTAGGTAACTGCCAAAGTAGTTTGTCAGTAAGTTTGTCTGACGTTGACATAAATGGTTCAATAATGTGTGTATGGATCACTGACGCTGGTTGATCAATCTAAATATACGCTTATTGGAGTAATGGTAACTCCAGCAGTCCAATATTCACTCTCAGTATTTGCTGTTTTTGGTCTCCACCACTTCCTGAGGGAAATATCTGGTTCTTTAGAAGCTAAATGCTCCACAAAGGCCACAAAGGACATAATTGCACTTGTCAACCATGCAGTTTGACTTGTAAAAAACCTGTCTTGGACTTTGTTTTCATGCAAGCAAACAGCAGATTACTGCAAATAATCAGGCTAAAGCCAAAATACATTATTTCAATGGATCAGGGGTTTTTTTTGTGGCCACATCAGGTCAGTCAATCATAAATCTACCAGTGTTACCGAGTTATTCTCAAACCCGTAATCTGGAAAGGAACCTGGATAAATAAATGAGATCAGATTACTGCTAAAAGCAGATCATCAGATAATCTCCAGGGCATGTAAACACACCAAATAACTCTGGACGACATTTCATCATAACAATAATAACAATAACAATAACAATCAATAACAATTGATGTACATTAGCTATCTTAACTTAACTTGAGATGTGACAATATATATATGTCTCTTACCTTTAAACCATATTTAAAATGTGGTTGTCTTTTCAACATAAATTAGCCTAGCACGTAGCATATCTAAGTACAGGAAAGGAGGAAGTTGACTGAGGTTCGGGGATCATGAAGGGTTAATTGTGGTGTTTTTAAACAGCCAGAAACTGTTGCTAAATAATGTAAGAAGTGCAAACCTGGTGGAGAGTAATTCTTTATTAAAAGGTTTTTGTTTAAAATGTGGCTCTTGAGATTTGACAATTACATCACGTTTAATTTAAAAACAGAACAAAGTGGATCACACTAGAAGAAAACAACAACTCTAAAAACAAGAAGAAACCTCATTTTTATTGCAAACTGTCAAGTTTTTCACTCATGTTTAAGAGCCTGACAACTTTCTGAAAAAGAAAACTGAGTTCTCAAGGTGCCCTCGAGCAATGCAGTGACTCGTTTAGTCCGGGTGATTCAGAGCAGCAGATGGTGGTTGTACTGGGCAGCTCCCAGTGGCCTCAGACCCTCAGGCTGCAAATATTCATGCAGAACTTAAAAAGAAAACCTTTTGCAAGCTTGGACTGATTCAGACCATGTGGGTGGAGAGAAAGTTTGAGAACCAGCAAAGTTTCGGTGTCTCGTTTACTTTCTGTCTGTTAATTAATTTAATGTAACCACAAACTGTCCTCTGGCTAAACGTAGAGAAAACACAACACCCAAGAAAAAAGTAACTTCAAATGAATGATGACAAAAAATTTGTTTCTTGAACTGTCTAATACAAAAGATCTAATTTATTACCAGTTTAACTCATAGATGACTCTGAGATTACTTTCTCTTTCTCTACAACAAAACAACAAACACACACACATACTTAGTTGTGTTATTTGTAGCTGACCTGCGGGGACACTGCGGTGTGTCAGTGTAAATCAATTCAGTCAGATAAGGACCACTTTGTAATCACTTCAGATTTATTATTTGAAAGAGGTTTTTGTTGGTATTTCTATATCTGTCTTTATCTTTCATAATCAGGAAATATGCCTCCACGTTGCCCATTCATTCCTGATTATGGACACCTGCGTTATCACATATTGAAGTAAAAAATACACATATAGTGCAAGTACATCATTGTAAATTTGCATTATAGTGATAATTGGGAATATCCTCACACGAGACTTGAAAAAGCTGTAGTGTGCAGGATTGATTTCCTGACTTACTTTTGAATTCTCACAATTGAAAAATCCTAAACCCGTCACCATGGCTGAAGACTCATCTTGCCCATTGTATCTCCCACAGAAGTGCAGAAGCAAACTGTGTGGAAACTCTACAGCTTCCAAACTAAACTAAATGTAAGGTAAATTCCAGTACGTTTTTGAGGATTATCGCAATAATATTGTGAATCGCAATTATT